CTCGTTAGCCTGGAACGTCCAGTCCACAAGTTGATATTGTTGATCCAAGGAGAAAGACCGGGAATCCCCGCCGAAGAGCCTGATGACAAATGATACAGACATTGCTGATAAACGTTAAGTTCATATTATTGTTGTTTATATTTAGTAAATTCGAATTTCGAATTTAGGGGAGCCATGTAAGTGCTCGCGTTGCGTGGACACGCGCGCGTGTACAGATCGGAAACGTTCGTACGTTGTCGTGCCTTTTTTGGCGCGAAAGAACACAAAAAAAAAGAACATGTTTAATACGAAAGGACAAGCTTTTTGTATTTTAAGATTTGTAAATTAAGATAAAGGCCGAGTCATCAACGTTGTTTACCCGGCCAAAACCAAGTAACCTAAAGATAAAACATGAATAAAGATTAATGAACATTTACAAGCGCTTTATGAGTTGTTTTCAGACGAGTGTATACCAAACCGGGCAAGCAGAAAATTCTACTTGACCGCGACTGGGATTCGAACCCGCGACCTTCGCATTTCTAGAACGATGCTCTACCTTCTAAGCTACAAGGTCAAGCTATTAAACCTTTCCGCAACCTGATCTTTCCTACTCGGACCAAAGCTTTGTTTATTTAAATTAACCTAAAAACTAGTAGTAAAAAGAAACACTGCAAGTGTGCATTTTCATGGGCAATTTTGTTTAATTTCCTGGCGGCAGGGAAAAATTTCCTCACAAACTAAAATAATCTTTGAAAAGAACTGCGTCGTTTCTCTCTTGTCCATCTCCATCCTTCTCACATGATTGAGCCGTCTGGCTCTGGCCCGTATTTATTATATTAAAAACAAAAGTTAAGAACATTACAAAAGTTATATGCATGATACATATCAGTGAAACAGTGCGCGTCCTCCAAGACACAGATGAAAGATAATACCAGATGTCTGAGCACGCGTTGGCCACCATTTTGGCAGTAAGTGTAATCCACGCCATGAAACGTGAGCAATCACGCATTTTGGCAGTAAGCACCGTACCATTTTGGCAGTAAGTGTCGCACGCGTCATCTGGCGTGATATCGATAGCCTCGCGAAAATCGCGGACACGAAAATCATAGGGATAGGTATAGAGTGATTCAAGACAAGCGGTTTGTCGTCGCGAAAAATATTTCATGCAGTTAAATTGAATAGGACTCGCTACCAATCTACAGCGGCGTAAGGCCTGTTGTCTGACTTAGCCCATTGAGCATCAGTGGTTCCCCTTGAGGAGTAAAATTGTCCGGCGTTCGACAGAGAATAGGAAGGTAGGGCGCACTGAGGAGCAATGCCACTTGATACGAGCATAGGTTAATGAGTGGGGAATGTGATGTTGGTCCACCATTAGGATTATGTGCATTTTAGTGTATTAATGAATTGTCTACAGTAGTTGTTGACTGCCGGGTCACCTGTTTTTATTGTAATTTGTAACAAAGAGTTCAGGAAATATATTACATCCAGAACTGAAGTGGGATATTAGGCCGGTTTACACGACCAGTGTTTTGGGCACGGCACCCCTAAAAATGGGCACCCGTGCCCAAAATTGTAGGCACGGCACCTCTGCCTTTTGGCGTGTAAACGTGCCAACAATCGGCACCGGTGCCGCAAAATTTTAACGTGCCGAGACTTTCTCACGAGGTAGTCTCGGCACGTCTGAGCAAGCGGTGCGTGCCCAAATTTTGAAAAAATAAAAAATATGTTCGACATTGAGCATGCGCAAAACAAATTTTCATCTTTCCGACATGGCAGCAAGCGGCGAAAAACTACAACTTGCCAAAAATAAAAATAAACAAAGTTGAAAAATAAGTTTAAGTAACACAGAATGTGAATGTTGCTCTAGTTACTCGGAAATTTTGATGCCACTGTTCGTCGCTGAATAGAGCAGTAACTACTGTAGGTCGTAGCAAATGGCTGTCCTTCGATGCGTCCATACCTCTCGAATTCGTGGCGGGTGAATGTTGGCGTGGATGGGTTACTGTTATTGTTATTGTTATTGTTATTGTTATTGTTATTGTTATTGTTATTGTTATTTAAGCTTTATTTTGACACATGAATAATACACATAGACTATTACATTTGTGAAACATATGGACAACATCAAACAAACAGGTGCCAAAAGAGGCGAAGCACAAACGAGACCATGCAAGGTGCTCACCACTAAATATCACAGAACAGACAAAATATATGAAAGTATTTACGCGAAAAACAACTCCTTTCGTCTTTAAGGACCTGTTCATATGGGCAAAAGTTATCCCAGTTAACGAGAAAACTTTTCGACTAGCCAAATACTTTTGTTCTGTTCATATATGGAGAAACGTTATCCCGCTTACTGAGTAAAGTTTCCGGCTGTGACGTAGTACTTCACATCAATTGAATTGAAAGGTTGCTGACACGACAGAAAGTTATCCTGCTAAGCGGGAAAGTTGTGTTCATATGTGATATGGGGAAAAACATTATCTCGGTCACCGAGATCTGGCTTGTGAACAAGCGAGATCCTGGTGCAATGGAAAACTTTTTGTCTTATTATATGAACACGTACAGTGTAACTTTTCATATTATTTTCATACCAAGGCGAGATCTCGCTTGTAAACTTGTCGAAAAGTTTCTCGCTAATCTCGCCCGACATCTTTATTCTCTATGGTCTTTATAATATACGCGCGCGGCCGTCGTAAACGGAAAGTAGAGGTGCCGTTTTCCGATGGGCACGGTGCTTATCATAAAAAGTTGTCATATAAACGAGTAAATAGCGAAGTGGGAGTTTTGGCACGGTGCCTATTTTCAGGGGTGCCGTGCCCAATACGCTTGTTGTGAAAACCGGCCCGTTGTATTCTCAACTATGGGGATAATTTCCTTAATTCCACCACCTTGTATATCAATAATGTCATAAATCGAGAAAATTTCAGTATGCATGGTTTGTGCAGATTTAGGGTAGTTGGATGGTGACTTTCTTTAAGGGGTAGCTTGATCACTATTTTCACCTCCAGACAGTCCACCTTTGTATACCATTGGTAGATGCTGACATTTTCTACAGAGCTGGAGAACTGCTATGCGAGTTGTATTCATATATATTTAGGCCAAAGAAAAAATAAACCCAGTTTTTCATACCCAGTTAATGATGGCGTTAGTTTTGTACTACCTATATTAAGTATCACCTGTTTGTCTCAAAGATGTATGTGCCCTCTGTGCTTCCGTAATTGACATAGAATATCATTCTCATACATGAGCACTAATACAAAATGTACAGAAAAAAGAAAACCCGAACTGTTAACCTATCTGGGTTTTTATATACACAACAAGACATAGGAACCCAGGTATTTCTTTTTTTTGGCCTTACATAACATGTCTAAATTTACAATCTTTCTTACCTAACCTTTAAATACAGATCATAAAAAAATTAACAAACATTCCTTCTCCATGTTTCGTATTACTCAATCATTCTCTATCATACTTATACAGTAGCCCCACTTGCGTAGTAAAACACACCACCACCATGACGCAAACCATTTACAAAACTACCACCATATCCTTGTTGCACTCCATTAAACCACTCACCAGTGTATTTTTCATTGTATGCCTATTCATTGTGCCCTGACCATGACGTGTCTTATTCTTCCAATTCCCTTCGTAAAAATTGCCACTGCATGGCATGGCATACCTACATGTACCATAACCAAGCACTCTTCCTCATAGTAGGACACGTCCTAAGGTGTCCCGATTTTCACATTTTGAAGACAAGTAATATACTAATATACGATAGAAAAATATATTGAGAATCACATGTAGTAAGTCTTAGTAATATTAATGAATGAATATAATGGACATTATGGACTGCAATGTAGAATGAGTCACATGCAGAAAGTGCAATACAAATACGTCGTACTTGTTAAAATGCATTCTGGCTTGAAATGAATCCGGCCGCAAAGATATAGATTGCTTTATAGTTCAATCCGTTTTTCGTATTGTTTATAGTCGACTTAGTCGATTCTCCTGTCCTCAGTATTAAATTTAGCCTTTCCTTTCTTGCCTTAATTTGTCTTTCGATTTTGAGAGCATTGCTTTCTGCTGCTATAGAACCACCATAAAATACACAGTTTTCGCGAGGCATGGCTTTCAACTATAATTACTATCCCAGCAGAAAAATAAAGGATTAAATGAAAGAAACCGCTTTATAATTTGTATATAGGTTTTGTATATTCTAAGTAAGCGGTTGAAATCTGATGCAGGGACCGGACCACGTGACCCGCGGTGACCATAATAAAATTGGTTAAATAACATAATTTGTCACGTGGTGCAGCTAACCTAACGACGCGCCTCAAGTGTTTAACAAGAGCGTATTCGGTATTCGTGGCAACTTTGTTACAAACTACTTCAGGATGTTCCTTCCATGTTATATGTTCATCAAGCATTACCCCCACTTTAAATTTAGGGACTCTTTCAATATCATGACCATGAATGAAGTTTATTTCATTATCCTGACCATGAATTTCAATATCATGATCACAGATTTACATTTAATGAACATTATAATGGAATCATTTTGAACTGTTTTTGTTTTGGTGACTCTTTTCAGTCGCAGCAACAAGCGAACTAAAGAGCGAATCTTGGTTTGCCAGGAGAACAGATGGTTTATTGAACTCGACAATCTGAAACATAAGATTGTTACCATATTACCATTGGTTGGTAAAACAGCCTGATGGCATAAACTATCATTTAATATTTTTAAAATATGGAAGTATCGGTCAATAACTCTACTGAGTACTGAGAATGAACTATTATTTAATAAGAATATTTAATGTTATAACTACATAGCGGTACTCTGGCTTAATCTGAATGTTGATCTGACTTCTGTGTTCCAGATAATTGATACAATTTCTACCACTGAGCTCATTAGTTGTTCCAGTAAAATGTTTAATGTAAGCGATCATGAAACCTATTTGGCTATTGACACAATTAATGCATCAACCTCGTTCCCAGGGTACCCTGGGAATGAGGTTGCTAATGCATGAATTCAATGGTCCATATTATTGGAACACAGCTATTGCATTTTGTTGGAACACCCTGTATTTCTTCAGTCTTTTGGGATCTCGTAATTCCTAAACATATGCAGTGCGGATTCATTTCTCAGGTAAATCAAATTTCGTAGATTAGAAGCAAGGAAAGGTTAACATTAAATACTTAGAATAAATTATTAAAAGATCCTGCAATCGAAAAGGAATAAAAAAATGACAAGTAAGAATAGAGGACATTGTCAAAACATGAAGGTGAGTTACATTTGCGACCATACCTTCTATTGGAAGGAAAAATAAATGGATAAGGAGGATAAAGGAAAACCCAGAATTAGGTAAAAAAATATAAAATTTGAATGGGCATGAAAAAAATGTTAAATGAAAAGAACGCAGCCGAAGGTACACTATAGTGGTTAGGAAAATTGGTAATGTATAATTATGTAATCTCATTGCTTAAGGGAATGGAAAATCGCTTGTTCATGTGCTCAAGATAACTCGCAGTCTGGTTACTATTGCTACAGTTTACTGAAACATACAATAGAACAATGACAACCCGAATTATTAACATCAAGTATAGATAAGTCTATTCCAAATAAAATTCATGTTTTCGCAAACTGCAACGATAGTCACTAGACAGTTATATCCGATGTTGTGAATTGGGTAGAAACGCTACCGTGTATCGACTTAGCGTTTATTGAGCCAGGCTTCAGATTATAGGCGATTCCCTATAGGTTCACAGTTTTTTGTGCATCCTTACTTGTCCTTGTTCCATGACCATAATTCTATCAGAATCCATGACTGTATTGAGACGATGAGCTATCGTTAATATCGTGCAATCTTTAAATGCTTCACGTATCGTATCCTGAATTTTTGCATCTATATTGAGAAAAATATGTCTGATGTATAAGTTGCAAATTAGTCTGCTGCTTTCAGCTTTGAAGCAAAATAATAACCATTTTTACCTCCTCCAGGAGCTTATGTTTCATACCTAATTTTAGTGTGCAGTGATAAAAGTAAAATGTGCAGTGATAAAATGTAAAATGTGCAGTGATAAAATTTGCTTTGATAAGTTGTTAATTAACACAAGAAAATGAGACAATGTCAATGAGCGGAAAAACTGAACTAATCCGGCGAAACATTTTGCGAATGAGAATGATTTAATTGAAATGACGGATGACTGCCAAATTATCGAATGTCCGCACTAATAACATACTTATGGTTCATCAGATGAACAAAGTCTCTCACCAAAGATCTCTTTATGGGTTTGGAAGATGGAGTGAATGATACTTAAGATTTTGTAATTACTGTATAATTTTCAGAATTCTATAGAATGTCCCCGCGCATTGCAGGAGATGCCCTTTTATAGTGCCTAGATTACAAAATTGTCTGTGGGTGCATTTCCCTGGAACTCCTCTAGAGATTTGTCACGCCAAAGCCCGTAAGCCGCCTTTCATTTGCCAAGAGGAAAATATTTATTTTCTTCAGTCATGTTATTATGAAACTAAGCTGTCATAGATAGTCGTAACTGCAGGTGCTGTCAAGGCCGCCCAGAGGGGTGCAATTTGCCCTGGGACCCGAGTTAAAGGGAGGCCCAAATAAAGAATTGCAGTGAAATATACCGCATAGATATAACTGTCAACTAGGCTTCTAGAATGCAGGATTTGGCCATTACTGGGACCTCAGATTTCAAAATTTTTCCGGGGGATGCCCCCCGACCCCCTAATCATAGTGTTAGAACATGGAATCACGAGAGCCCCCAAGTCAAAGTTTGTCCTGGGGCCCAAAATTTCCCTGATTGCTGTGCAGTGTATGTTCGTTTTGGCATTTTTGAATATGAATTGTAGCCTGTATTGTTGTTAATATTTCATTCAATAATCATTTCATTCATTAATATTTCATTGCTGCAATTTTTAATATTTCATTCAATTTTGAAGTTACTACTTGTTTGGATTACATGTAATAGATACCATACATTTATAACACAACGTCTGGTCAAAATTTAAAATATATATGAATGCACGATATTAATCATACCCGTTTCTGAGTCTATTGCAGCTGTGGCTTCATCAAGCATGAGGATCTGAAAGGTAAAGAACCGTTCTTACTATATTTATTTCTTCAATTACTAAAACGTCTGACAAATCCATGCCATATAATGTCTGTTAGATATCTTTGCTTTTGTAACGTGACCCTTGCAATCATAACTGGAAACGTATTTATTATATTGTTCAATGAGATTGGTACTGAGTTTCGCTCCAAATATTCTGGATGTTGCGCTCTCTACATAGACCATGCATCAACCCACCTTACAGTTTCTCAACAAAGCTCTGGCCATGCACATCAGTTGTCTTTCACCAACAGAAAAATTTTCTCCATTTTCAGCAACAGGTGCTTGTAATTTCAACGGCAAATTACTGATAGTGTCTTTGAGATGTGCTCTTTCTAAAGCAACCCACAGATCTTCATCGGTATGTGTGTGAAATGGATCCAGATTATGTCTATTATAACAAAATATTCATGTAACTACGTACAAATTCGTGGAATAATTTTCAAGTGAAAATATGAATATCGCAAAACGAGGAAACCATTCATTCAATATGCATTAATTTATTTACATTAACATAATACGACAAATATAATTTCAAATTCATCGAATAATGTGAGTTGTTTTCATGAATCCGAATATTTCCTTACCTTACTGTCCCAATAAACAAAATAGGATCCTGCGGTATAATTGATAATTTCGATCGAAGATCACTGAGTCCTGGAAAATATGAAAATGATATTTTGCCAATTAGATTCAAGTGTAAAGGGAAAGAATAATGGAAGGGGAGTAAAAAGGAAAAACAAAGATGAACTAGGGATCCAAGGATAGTGTGAAGTTTCAAATTGAAAAAGACACTGCAAGAACTATATACAGTCGCCGACAACCTAGAAAAGCTGATGGCTTACACTACGAAATAAACAGTTACCAAAGGCATTTTATCTCATTATCTATTGTTTTTAATGCGTTCGGCACATGAGTAGCGCGGCGTTTGAAACAACACATCAGAAACGTCGTGCCTCGTGGAACTGATACAATTTATTTATTTATTGTGATGCTACACGCGACAACTCGAAATTTAAATTGTTTCACCCACAACCAAATTTTGCATATTCTAAAACTTCATTTGCATTTGCAGCTGTCGCTAAAAGCATCCCCACGAGGCTACTGATATGCTAATTTATTTAAAACTATGATTATTCCCATCATCCTTTTAGCGCCCATATTGCACATTTGACTATTGTCTCAGTGACAACTTTATTGAAATAGCTGTTTAATTTAAGATATGTTATGAATAATAAGCACTACGACGTTACATCATCAAAAGGACGCATTTTATCCCCATCCATTCTGTATTTTATCCCCATATCCGTTCCGTGGATCCGCTCCATCCGCTTCCGCATTTTAACCTAATTGTGTCATGTTTCACAATAACAAGTCTCGCTGACTTTTGACTTATTGCCACGTGTCACGTTGTGTCATTTTCAGCTTTTCGCATGTATTCAATGTCACTTTAGATTTCAATAGTTTCACTGTTATAGCAGTGTTTATAGTAGTTTTGACAAGCTTTGATACAGCTCTGTGTACTGATTGATTCTCGTAACTCTGGTAGAGTTATCGTTGCACTGAATACGAGTTTGCACCGTTGTGCTATAGCCTCAGCATCGATCTTGTAATATATTGAACTAAACTTGTAGTAGAATGAAATCTTGATAATAGCTTCGAATTATATCATCAACATAAAGCTGTAACGTCTGTAAAATGTTCCGTCTTGATCTTGTAAAATATCCATATGTACCGTTTGCTCAATCACTCTCAAGTCGTGGTATTTTGTGGTATAATATTATTCTAAAAAATCAGTCAAGATTTTATTATTTTGTCCGTTGGTGTTGGATTTTAAATTTTTCGCGGCGTCTATATCGAGTTTCCCTGGCAACAAGAACATTTGTTTGTATCACGATATTAGCTGCTTTAATTTGATTTTCGTCGCTGGATCTGCGTGTCGGAGACTTTTCCTGTCATTTTGTCATATATTTTGTCTTATTCCGTGGGATTTTTCGCGAATTATTATACTTTGTTTTTTGTGTTCACTGCTTCTCGAAAGTTAAAGTGCGACATTTTGACCCCGATCAAGTTTTATCTCTCAACACATCAAGTCATTACAATAACTCATCTCCAAATAAAATTACCTCATCTGGCTCATCACCTCCTGGTTTCATGGCGAAAACAGCTTTTCTTGCTCCACTTATTATATTAATGTTTGCATCCGTTTTACAACAAAATCTAAATGTCAATCCTGGTCTGTTCTACAATCTCCTGGTTTTGGACTGAACGTCCCCTTCGCCCGCAGTGAAGCAATACCTGTTGGCTTTGAAGCATGTCTCGCTACTTTCTCCACATCTAGATTTCGCGTGTCCACCATCCTGACTAAAAGTCATAATAACCAACTTAAACTCCTACTGTCTATACTCCTTTCATGTGGTGATATCCAAATTAATCTTGGCCCTATAACGAAGTACTCTTGTGAGATATGCAGAAAATCTATTAAGTCCAACGTTCAATCCATCCAATGCGAAAAGTGTTCAGCTTGGTACCACATTAACTGTTGCAATGTAAAGCCCCCAAATACCCTGTCCGACTCCTGCATATGGATTTGTAGTCAATGTGACGCCCATAATTTCTCTACATCTCTATTTAACAATCATCTCAAAACGCCATCATTACTCTCAAACTTGTTCAGCGCCCTTGATAATCAATCATCACCGCCGGCTACTCCCTCTCGAGATTCTAATACTGTATTCGCTCCAACTCCCAATCCAATACCTAAGTCTAAACGAGTTAAAGCTAAATGTCATCTAAAAGGAATGATCATCCATTGTAACGGTTTGAAAGGTACATCCCGTTTCACAGAATTTCAAGCTCTACTTGATATACACAACCCTGATGTTGTTCTAGGAACTGAATCCAAGCTACACAATGATATACCCACAATAACCCACTTACTCTGTGTTTCCATCCAACTACACTGTCTATAGAAAAGACAGAAATGCAAATGGTGGTGGTGTTTTTCACGCTGTTAAATCCGATATTGTATGCGAAGAATGTCCAAAATTCGATGCGAACTGTGAAATTCTTTGGTCCTCAATAAAGTTCCAGAATTCCAAGAAATTATACCTAGCATCCTACTACAGACCTCCCAACTCCTCTTCCGAAGCCCTTGATGAGCTCCAGAAATCTATAAACTGTGTGTTTGATTCGACTAATCATCATCCAAATATTATTCTAGGTAGTGGTGATTTTAACCTTGGAGACATCAACTGGAAATCTGAGTCACCAGAACTTTCAAGTGAAATCAATTCCTTACATCATAAGAAACTTCTCCGGACACTTGACGACTTCTCCCTTACACAGCACGTCACGTTACCTGTTCGTCCAGCTTCTAACAAAACCTTGGACTTGTTATTGTCTTCATTCCATAATAATGTATCTAATGTTTCGACCACGTCAGGAATGAGCGACCATTTGGCCGTCCTTTTTAACATCGATGTCGCGGCTACTAGATCGTTCAAACCTCCACACAAAGTTTTCATCTATAAAAAAGCTGATTTCACAAAGCTAAATGAATTTATGTCACATGCATCGGAAAACTTTTTCCTATCTAGTCCTCAACATAACTCTGTATCTGAAAACTGGTTAAAATTTAAATTTACCTTGACAAAAGGTATTCAAGATTATGTTCCTCACAAGAAATCTACGCCTAAGTATGAACTTCCATGGATAACCTCTGCTATCAAACGGCACATGCGGCTGAAAGATCGCCTACATAAAAAGGCTCTCAAATCCCACAAACCTAAACACTGGGATGAGTTCAAGAAAGAACGGAACTTAGTCGCTCGTTGTATGTATACGTACAATTAAATCTGAGAGCTCTGGCATACCTCCATTAAAATTCAACGACAAATTATATATATATCTGATAAATCAAAAGCTGGCGCCCTTAACTCCCAGTTCCATTCAGTATTCACCCGTGAGAATGCTCCAATTCCAAATAAAGGTCAATCTCCATACACCTCCATCTCAGATTTAATAATCAACTCCCAAGGTGTAGCCAAGCAACCCTCTGAACTTAACCCCAGTAAGGCCTGTGGTCCTGATGAAATCCCAGCTAGAATCCTTAAAGAACTTTCTCCATCAATTTCGCACTGGCTTTGTTTCATTTTCCAACAATCCTATGATTCTGGTATACACTTCCACTTGACTGGCCAAAGGCCCTTGTTTCTGCTGTTTTTAAAAAGGGATTAAAATCCAACCCAGCCAACTACCGTCCAATCTCTCTGACGTGTCTGTGTTGCAAAGTCATGGAACATATCATTCTTAGCCATGTTTCAAAGCACTTAGCATATCATGATATTCTAATTAATGAAAAACACGGATTTCGCAAACTATTTTCGTGTGAGACTCAACTAATTACGGCAATCAACGATTGGGCAAAAAGTATCAACCAGAAGAAACAAACCGATGTGATTCTCTTAGACTTCAGTAAAGCCTTTGATTCTGTTCCTCATCTTCGTCTGATGTCCAAATTAGACCATTATGGTATTAGAGGACTTTCCGCCAATTGGATCAAGGCTTTTTTTTCCAACCGCTCTCAAGTTGTCTCGGTTAATGGCTCCCACTCTCACCCTCAACCTGTCATATCTGGAGTACCTCAAGGAACAATTCTCGCACCTGTTTTATTTCTTCTCTATATAAACGATATTTCTGAGAATTTTAAATCCCAAATTCGCTTGTTCGCTGACGATGGAATCATTTATAGAGAAATTAATAACGATCAGGACCACGTCACGTTACAAGAGGATTTAGACAATCTAAATAATTGGGCTAACAAGTGGCAACCAAATTTCAATTTCTCAAAATGCTACCACCTAGGAATTACAAATAAACGTGTCCCTAAAGCATATAGTTATATGATGAATAATCAAACAATTAGCAGAGTATCTTCTACCAAATACCTGGGCATTACTATAAACCACAACTTGAACAGGAACAAACATTGTGACATCATATGTAGTAAGGCAAATAGCACTCTTGGCTTACTTAAAAGAATCCTTGGTGAATGTAGCGCTTCTGTTAAGTCAAGAGCGTATACGTCTAGTCTTGTCCGTCCACAACTTGAGTATGCTTCTACATTCTGGAACCCTTACACCAAGAGGAACATCAACAAGATCGAGATGGTTCAACGCAGAGTTGCTAGATTTGTCTTCAATGACTATTCCAGAGCTAGCCACGTCTCTCCAATGATCGACCACCTGGGTTGGGACAAATCTCCAACAACAGCAACTGCTTCACCAAGCCACTATGTTCTACAAGATCCATCAAGGCCTTGTTGGAATCAGTCTTTCTGATGACGTGTGTCCTTTGACTAGAGCATCCAGGCTCCCTAATAGCTGTCCTTACCGCCAAATTCAGTCGTGTGTCAATGTACTGACTCGTCCCCAGTCGCGCTAACCCGCAAACGGGCATATATTCTCACGTACTAAAATGTAACGAGGGACTGTGGAAGAGTCAGTGTCAATGTATATAAGTTTTCATTTTATCCAAGAACAATCGTTACCTGGAATCACATCCCATTTAACAATCTTTGCCAATCAACCCCAAGTTTCAAAACACTTGCCATGCCTTCGATTAAGTCACTTAATGTAGCTAATTAGTATCGTTTTGAATCGTTTGTATTGTACTATATGTTCGTTTTGTAGTCTTAGTGTTGTCGTTGTCGTTGTTGTTATTGTCGTTGTCGTTTTTGCCGTTAATTGTTGTTGTTAATAGCATATAACAACATCATTCATTACACCGCCTAATATATGTGTCATACAGTGATTATGAAGACTTTCTTGTAAATAAACATAAATATTATCTAGTTTTTCAGTATATATAACTCCTAGTGTAGTATAATACTGTTTTAGGAGTATTTCATTAAAGCATTAAAGCCTATACAAACTAGACAGTATTAAACAAGGTCCGTGACGGTACACGTTGGCTACCCTCCTGCCTTTTTATTCTATTGCATAAAGCTTGTTGGCGAGCCAAGCGATTGGCGATAACACGTTGGCTATCTCCTCGTCTTTCTTGTTTAACTATTTAAATAAAGAGCTCTGACTCAACTGATTTCTTTAGTCTCGCAAGTTATTTTCTTCGTAAACGCCATACAAACACCCGGCTTCTGTTTAATAGTTGTTTACTCTTATTGATCTGATGCAATTTTTTCACTCTTTGCACTGAGTGTAGCCATCTATTTTGTGGTGTAGCACCTTATACAGTCAATGTATAATGAATACACGGACTAAATAATATCGATGGGCACTTAATTGAATGCCGGTAATGCATAACATCAATTTATAATGCGTAGAATCTGAAAGATTTTCTCAATATTCATGTCTGTAATATTTATATATATTTGAAAACAACACTGTCTCGTTCCTTCCTAGCTCTGTATAATGAATATACCGACTAAATAATATCGGTACTTAATTGAATGCCCGTAATGCATAACATCAATTTATATATTGCGTAGATTCTCAAAGATTTACTCAATATTCACGTCTGAAATGTTTATAATTTAAAAACAACACTGTCGCTCCTTCCTAGCATATCGTCACGCCATCGTGATCTACGGCTTGATAGCGCATGCGCATTTGCGCTGCTAAAGAAAAAATAGGGTGTTCCGGGGGTAAGATCCTTTACACAACATGAGAAGCGAATATTATAAAATTTACAAAAAATTACAATAACGAAAACGATTCCTCGAAATTTTTGTGAACTTGGCAAAAGGATAAAAGAATATTTAAATAAGACAACTGAAATTGCCTAAATAACTTTCAAAGCACTGACTAAGTACAATAAATCACTAGGAACATAAATCGTATACACCCCCAGGAAAGTTTACTCTATTAGATGCTACTGTGTTAAAATGTTTTTATTTATTTAACACAGTATAACATCTCTCTAGCCGCATTCGCTCAAAACTAAAAAAGTATATTTTATAACATATATTTTGTTCGCTTGTATATAATGCTCGCAGCATTCATAATCGTGCAAGTTTAACTCGAATTAATATTCGTAAATTTTTATCATTCTCACCAATGTCCAGTATATTAACTCCATCTATACATATTGTCCCATCTGCAGGTTCCACAAGTCGAAAAAGAGATACTCCAATAGAAGATTTTCCTGAACCAGTTCGACCTACAATGCCTATTTTTTCCTCAGCTTTGATATTACAAGTGATGCCTTTTAAAACTAATGGCAGATTTTCCCTGTATCGCATCTAGCAAGAAAGGAGAGAATTCCATAATTATTGTATTTACACAATGGTTAAGAAGTTACTGTTTCTACAGGCCTGATTCTAGATATTTTCTAAGTTGGAGAACTGCGTTCCTGATAACTTCTTATATTCTTACTCTCATTATTATATATGTTGATCTGTATAGAGGACACTTTTTTGTGCGTAGCCTCCTCCGCAGGCATCTTATGTGCGTTTTAGTATTCGAAAAAAATACCTCAGCAAACTTTTTCCGATCTACCTATTCGCAGGCTAAAAACCAATAGAGATGCCTGGGGAGGAGGCTAGGTTGTGCGATTAGTTTTGAGCATTCAGATATCAATTCTCAAATCGATTCAAAATTAGAAATTAATATACAAAACTGGGGAAAACATGCTATATTGTCTATTCGAAAGGTATTCAGTTAAAGAAGATCCATAAACTAGTCACTCGTATATTCAAGTCTCTACATACCCATCTTACTACATTTGATGCATAGCTATGAAAAAGTTCCCTCACCTTTAAACCAACTATAGATAAGCTTCCTTTGGCAGGCCAGTCATCTGCAGGTTTTTGGCAGGAAATGAGCAGGGAGCTTCTGGTTTCAGATTAATAATATAGTAAATAAGACGTTCCACACTGGTGAATATTGATTCAACCTCTGCAATGAATCGTACTGTTAACGGCATAACACTTGTCAACTAAAAAGGACAAAATTTTTAAAAATCCACCGGATTGCCAACATCTGATCAAGTATAAAAAAAAACTAAGCAGATTTGGAATTGCTCTCAATTTCTCAAAACAGCTATTAGTATCCAGTTTTTGATATATTTTGCTTCTTTGGGTACTTATAATGTAGAATAATGAAAAATTTGTCGAACTTAAATTTTGTAAACCAGGGGTGTGTGTCTTTTCCAACAAATAACAATAATATTAATAACAACAATAGTTAAAGGGGCTTAAACTAAAGCAAATTGTCTGAAATTTTGTACAATAATTAAAAATAGGTACGCAGAGCGTACATGTGTTAGCCTCGGAAAGCTTGCCTAAAAAGATTGCATGCAAAACAACAAGGCAGAAAGTGCATAGCAACATGAGGTAATGCTATGCAAGTTTTTGCATTATTCAAATAGTACAGGTTTATTAGCATAGCATGACCAGTTCCCATGGCTAGCATGCCACTGAATACTCAGTGCTACAAAATATCATGTATATATAAACAATAATACTTGAATAAAAGAATCCCCACGAGGCTACTGACCTTGACTTTGTCTCGGTGAATATTTATCACTTATTTACTGAGACCGAGGGAAACAGTGTGTTTTGTGGATCCGAGATCGTCGATGTTTCCCGAGGCGAAGCAGAGGGAAACATCGACGGTCAAGGGTCCACAAAACACACTGCCTTCCCGAGGTCTCAGTAAATAAGTGTTTTATTATATATCAATAGTCAAAGAAACAACATATTAAAGAACAAATGAACGTAAATACATGAAATATTTTATTGTTAAAACATTATATTAAACACTGGCTACACTACAGTTACTTAAAGCGAAAGTTTTAATTACGTACTAGGCATGTCCAAAGGTCGCATCTTCACGTGATGGCGCATGTGCATTTTTTTGTTATTCGCCGGTCGATAACGTATTATCTTCCTCTCGCCTTGTTGCGAGGGAGACAGCCTAATGTCGTCACTCTCACATGATATGCTCTCAACCAATAAAACACTAGAAAAATGCGACTTTGACTATTGATATATAATAACAATATTTGTTTCATGTTTATAATTTTGTTCTAATATTTACTACATGCATGCAGAAACCCTCGCCTTGCTGACAAAACAATTGTATTTTCCGAACATGAAGTATCTAAAGTAGTTGTCAAGGAAACACAATAATTTTTTAAGAATATTCTTAATACAAACGAAAAATCGCCTAATAATGTCACTTTTAATTACAAGATTATCAATTTCCTAACATATATATGGTAGGTATGATATTATACGTAATATAAGCTTCATTTTCAAGATAAATTCAACCACAAACGCTTCGAAACAAACGCTTCTTATAAAACTGACCTGCCTTTAATAATTAAATAGCTTTATCGATAAACTTTGAGTTTGCAATATAATGATTTCAAATTCTCGCATGCAAATAATTTTGCTTTCTTTTTTATTTAAAATTTCAATATAATAAAAAAGGGAATCAATATTAAAGATACACTGAAATTATATGCTGTCTTGTTTAGTTGTTTCATATACGCAAAGGCCTTCGCCAATTGCCGTCGGATTTTAAAGCAATTTTAAAATCAATATTTAAAACAAACATACCTTCGTTAACGTCGGCTACCTTCTTTTAGCCGATTCTTTCGCCCTTTCTTTCTTGAAATTTACAAAATCTTGCAAAAATGGGAGCAAAAATGAAATATACTTGCAAGAAATTTATCAATCATCAAATCAAGAAATGTTTGCTATTTCGCTGTCGTCATGCAGTCGTTATAATGCAAACTTTAAATTGGACCAATCACAGTGTTCGCTATTCATGACAGTCCGCCATATTTTTGATATCAGTGAGGATGACCACCCACGCACAGAGAGCCACGCCCGCGATCATTGGTGAACTTTAGACTTCGATAATGCTTTCGTTTCCCCGGGTGTAAATAGCCGGGGGGATTAGTACCCTCGCACGGCGCTTCGCGCCGTCGGCTTGGGGACTAGCCATCAACACAAACGAGAAAAACGTTTTGGTCGCAGACCATAGAATTCCAGTTGATGTTGTGAGGAATGAAAGATCATGTCAACCAATAATGAACTATCAGATACTCAGCGTATGCCATTGCATGCCATTGTTTTCAAGGCTTCTATCCACTCAGTCGTGGTGGAATTTTTAGTTATTACTTATGTGGATCGTGTCAATTGTTTTGTTGGCTGAGGTTAACAATTGTTATCATAATTTGTATAGATGTTTGCATGATTGTAGTCCTATCTTATATATTGTAAATATTTAATAATTTTAGCTATTATTAAATTTGTGAATTGTACACTCAGATGTGTTGCTTCTTTTATTTATTTTTATTCCAATTTATAGACCTGTGATCTGAGACAAAGCTGAACAAAGGTGTGTAATTTTGCACACCTTCCAAGGCTGACTCGTACCCAGTCGTCAATTACGACTTATATAGATCAGTGTACGGAGTTTTGAGTTGCATGATGGGAACGACGAAGACAAATTGACGACTGGCAGATCACAAAGAAACATGGCGGAAACAGTAATGGCGGGCGCCAACGATGATTGTGTAAATGCAGCGAGACTTCACGAGAGGCCTTTCATGTCGCCTATATAAATGAAAAGATTCAATGTCCTCTTCCGCAATGTAGACGAGATTTTCGAAATGATTTTTTTGAGGTGAACGGGCTCGCTCAGCATTTTAGAGCGAAACATAGTGGTGTAACTTTCACAGACAAACACGTGGATGAAGCAAAATGCGTGCTAAAGTCATTGCATGGCGAAGAAACGAAGAGCCACTTGGAAAAGTTGTCTACCGCGTGTCGTATAAACCTGGTAAGCACAATGTTTGCGGATATATATGCAAATTTATTTCTGTAAGGACGCGTCATAATACATGTTGACTCAAAGCTGTTTATAATTTACATATTTTTAGAAGAGCGAACCTTACATCGGATACAATGTATTTACAAAGCACGGGGATTGTCACAATTTATATGTCGCTGCAAAAGATGCGAAAGAGGCTGCTAAACTTGTTGGAATGGTTCTATTGCATTTTGGATATCTGAAACCATACTCCAAGGGCAACAGAGGTGAACCAATTGATGTAAAAGGAGGAAACATCACTGCCACTTTCAATGTGTGGTTTTCCACCAAGACGGAGTCTGGTAAAGATATGACTGTGGTCATTGCAGAAGCCACATTTGTGAAGAAGGTAGGAACTTATTATGTTAATAGATACAGGTATATATTTTTTATATAAAAACTTGCTAGTGCAATTTGAGAAACAGCATAATTCTTCGTTGTTTTTTTTTCAAATATTTGTGGAAATCCTAAAAGCAAGCGATGATAAATTACAATCAAATTTTGTTTACTGGCAGTTTTTTTACATGTAATAGTTCTAGTTCATTCTATATTTGTCACCACAAATCACTGACTACATATAATCATCCAATTTATACTTGATTACACTTTTATTACTGTTGTTCCAATTGAAGTGTTCCACAAATATCGATTCAATACATTATCTCGGGTCGACCAATTCATTTCATCAAGTTCCTCGAAATATTCATACACTTCCTAGTATAATTGTAAATTTCCTGTTGAATAGTTTGAATGCACCAATCACCTTTGATGTTTGTGCAACTAACCAATCATAAATAGAAAGGGAGTGACCAGAAATGATCAAATACTTGGAATTGGCTCTTTCACAGGAAGTGTATGAATATCTCGAGGAACTTGATGAAACAAATTGGTCAGCTTGAGGTAATGTATTGAATCAATATTTGAGGAACACTTCAATTGGAACGACAGTAAAAGATGCTGTAAAGTTCGCAATGTAAACAAACGCTTTGTTTACATTTCTGAACTGCTATGTTTGTAAATATGATATACTAACTGCATTATCTAACACTTTTCCTATGTTTCAATTCAAAAAAGTTTGATTTTATAGCATCTTTGAAGATGATCCACCCCTTTCTGCACATCAGTTCTGCTCATAACAAAGCGGGACACCCAGGCAGATATAAACATTGCCCAAATTTCGAATCTTTCGAACTTTTTGTTGAATTGAAATCTACAGTCTATGTTCATTTACAAGTATAGCGAACCAGAAAAGTGTTAGCTAGATATTCAGTTAGATTTTCAAATATAGCAGTTCAAAATGAAAACAATGTTTGCGCATGTGCACAGGAGTGGTCATCATCTTTAAGTTCTGTAGTAAATTTGACATACATGCAAATGATGTGAATATATTTGTTTTTATAGGATTTATATGTGGACGCAACACCA